TGGTTTTAAGCTTTTGATCTGAAATGTGCTTTCATTTTGCATTGGGGATGCATGAATTCTAAACACACACTCTTGTTTACACATTGCAGTAATCCTTTTATTTTCATTTCTAACCCACTTCAAATCATATCCCTGTTGCACTTGTCATTCCTTCAATGCATTCCTATAAACTTATGCATTCTTAAATCTCGTCCCCACTTTTAGTTCAGGTTTCACCATATCTGCATCCTCATTAAATTCTAAAAACCTATCATCAATTTCCTTCTCATCTGATGATCCATACAAAGTATGCATCTCAAAATCTTGATCTGAATATCATTCATTAGAACTTGAAGCATTTGGTTCATTTTCTACATTTGATTCAACCCCCAAGTTTGTCTCAACACCCACATTTGATTCTTCCCTCACATTTTTGTCAACATAAGCAAATATATCTTCATCTTCACTCCCCTTTAAACCATCATTCATTCACTTTGGATTTGTGCTATCACCACCATCATAATCATTCATTTCCTTATCACCTCCTCTTCTTCTTCTATTTCAGTCTCATTTCCCCATTCATTTTCTTCCATTTCAAGCCCATTTATCCATTCTTCATCCAATTCAATTTGTGCTTTTATTTGTTGAATTTGTGGCCCTTTTATGACTTCCCCATTTGGACCTAAGACCTGAAGTGCCTCATGACCTTTCTCCACATATAAGGTAACCACATTCAGACCCATATAATGGAATAACATATCAATTACATCCCTATCTAAATTCATCTCCCTAAGACCAATGTCCAATTGTCACGACCTAAACCCACCCCTAAGGGCTTAGCATCGTCACCGGCCAGTAATCCGTAATTACCAAAGGCCTACTTAATAATAATAACAATTATACAATAAGAGGGCCCGACAGAAGCCTGTAAACATTAAAACATAATGTCCAAAGAGCTGTGAAGACTTAAATAAATAGACAACTTCTATATATATACCGATACACACATAAGTCCAAGTCCAAACATATAATCAACACTTAAGTCCAAAACACATCTAAGTACAAAATAAAAAGACATGTTAGGGAATTAAATCCCAAGCCAAAAACAAGTTAGAAAACATTCACTTGACGTCAAATAATCGTTCAAAAAGGGTGGAATTAAGTCACCCCAAAAGCCTTGACAATAACGAGTCGGAACCTCGCAGTGAGGCACAATAGTTTGGCTTGACAAAACGGGATCAGGTTGATGCCGCTAACTTTGCTCTGGTGCCTGGCCACCTACATATATATAATCAACTATGAGCTAAAACCCAGTGACTAACAAATGCGTAAATAAATTAGTTCAATAAGCAGTATTCATACATTTCAATATCATATGAAATCATTACAGTCATACATGGTACATCCTATAGCAGAACAGTTTAGTAGGTCTTAAGGACTGAACAGTCAGTTAATGGCCATCAATATAGTAACAGTAGTTCCAAAGATTAGAACTGACAGAGATCTCTGTAACAGTAATAGTAATAGTAGCAGTAATAGTAACAGTTAGTTACTATGGATGCCACGAGTGCAGTTCAAAAATTAGGACAAACATTCATTCAGTAAACAATACCATTTCAGAAAGCAATACAATTAATCATTCAGAAAATAATTATAATTTAACATAGTTTTACAACATTGTTACTCGCAATGGGCTCCTCGATATACGTGCTTAAATGCACTAAAATTGCGGCATCTAACCTAACAAACAGATTAGAGCACAACTCAATTACAATCATGTCATTCCATTATTCAATCATTTCTATTTCTATTCAATTTGTTGTTTATTTGATTGATTTCTGTTCGTTGTTCAATCCTTCAGGTCTAACTTTCATTCTATATTCATTTGTGTTCATGAGATGCAGATACACATAAAAGTACTTTAAAACCATACAAACGGAGGCCCAAAAGGTAGAAAAGATGAGCAAGAACAAAACTGTGACCACCCTAACTGCTGCACGTACGGGGTCTCTGCCGCACGTGTGGGACCATTTCCGCACGTGCCTCCCGCACCTGCAATTTAAGCAGAATGTTCCTCAAATCTGCCTTGTTTTCCGCACGTGCGGGGCTCCAAGCCGCACGTGCGGCACTGGGTGAAAAACTGTCCGAAAATGCTTTTCTTTTTGGCAATGCATTCCTTTACAAAATCAACCCCATTTTCATGCATTTCACTTCCAAAAACTTGACATAACACCTTGAATTAAACATATTTAGCTTGGAGCAAAATTCATAACTTTAATTAAAGCTTCAAAACCATGCAAGGAGTTCAAATTCTTGAAATGTAAACACAAGTTCATAACTAATACAAATTGAGCTCTAATTCTTTAAAATGCATAGAGTCTTCCTCCCAACAAACAAATAGAAAAGAACATATAAACATGCTTGACTTTGAGCCTTGATCATGAAATACAATCAAAACTTGTAAACAATATCCAAATTGCCAATTTGAAAGATCAAGACTCCAAATAAAACATAGACACATAAACCATGTATTTCAAAGCTTCAAATTTCAAAATTGATGAGAAAATCCTTTCAAAACTTTTAGACTTATGCAAATTATGTAAGAAATATGCATTGAAACAAGAGTGTCTTAAATTCATGCCATGCATGTTGTTAATTCAAGTTAATCTCCACAATTCTTTCTTTATGTGATCATATGAATTCCTAACATCGATTTACACCCCTAGTCTCCTAATTAAACATGATCTTTACTTAAAACAACTCAAAGTCTAAAGGATTATGAGGGAAGCATTTCAATTTCATGAAATTTGGTGGAAATTTCTTACCTTAATTGGTTAATTGGTAAAGATTTCAAGTTTCCTTTCACTTTCTCTTCTTCCTAACTTCTTTCTCTTGCTGAGCTCTCTCACCAAGTCTTTTCTCCCTCTCTCTCTACGTGTATAGTGTAAGACTACCCAACAAGATCCACTAGCTCTATCTTCTATATTCTTTTGATGAGTAAAATGCATGAGACTCAAATTAATTAGACTAACTAAATTAATTAAAATCAACTTGACTCAAATTAAATTAATCTCATCATCGAATAATCTCAAATAATCTTAATTACGCTAGATTAAATTATACTAAGGTAAATTAGGCCCTAATTCATATCCAATTTCTAAATTCTAACTTGTTAAAATTAACAAAGCAAATAGGTCTAATTCATACATATCTGCATATGTTCACAATAACAACACAATACATATGTTCACAATAACAACACAATACCAATCAATGTAAGCATATATCATACGGCACAATTAACAAATAATCACATAATTAACAATAAGCATATAATTAATATAATTAATTTGCTTAATTAAAGAGGTGGTTGTCACACTAGTTTTTCCCCAAGAACTCTGTAATACAATTGGCTAGTAGAGAGATAACCTAGGCTCAAATACAATTTCTGAAAATCAAAAAACCCAACCCTATATGGATCAAAGTACTGAAAGTAATTAACTTTCCCTCCCTTATACACTACATTTGGAGGCTTAGTAGAGCAACTTCTGTGATGTAACTCAACTCTAAACTCTGTTACCATCACCTCACCCTAATTAATCATACAAGACACAAAAAGACAAAAATAATACATAAACAAATTAATGCCTCAACATTACAACACACAAAAGAAAAAAAGGAAAAAAGAATACATAAACAAATAAAAAACCTAACACTAAACAGGCATATTATCTCCCAATACACAATGAATAGTTAGGGGACCACTATCAACCCCACCTCTATGCACAAAAATCATAGTCATGCATCAAAATCAACAAAACCCAAAATCTATGGCCATTTTTGCATAAAAAATAAAAAATAAAAATCCCAATTTATTATTCCAAATATACACAACAAACAGGTAGGGGACCATTATCAACCCCACCTTTATGCACAAAAATCACAGTCATGCATCAAAATACAAATTCTAGCAAAAAAGCTAACAATCAAACAACAACCTTAACAAAAAGGTAACAACAAGCTAACAAATATATATCGGAAAGCAAAAACCCTACTAATAAAGCCCTTTTTTTTTAATTTTCAAAAACATCAACCATCAAACAACTCATTTTCCAAACATATTATACAATCTATTTACAAAATCGCAATCAAACCAGCAAATAGCCACACAAAACTGATTTTTTGTAGGGTTCGTCTATTGTTACCTGAAGTAAAATTTCGAAAAGCTAATTCTTTGTAGTCTCAATCAATTGTTACTGATTCGATTTGCAAATCCTTTGAAACCCTAAACCATGTGTATCTCTCTCTCCCTCCCTCTATCTCTGAAAATTGTAATCAAACAACTGAAGAGATTGTAGCATGTAAACAATATAAATATCTAGGGATATTCTAGTCTTTTCCATAATTCTGTCACGCCTTGTCACTTTTACACTTTAGTCAAAACCACAAGGTGTTTATGAGTACATTTACTAACGTCAAGAGGATAATGTGAAAACGTGTGAAATCATAGGGGATAAAATGTAATTATCCCATCAATTAATGATTGATGAGGGCAAATAAGATAATTAGGCAACAATTTCTTCCCTTTCCTCTGTTCTCTTTCTTTGCCTGCTGTCTTCTCTCTCTTTCTCCTCCATTTGTTGAAAGGGTAGCAAATTAAACAGCTACCACAAATATTTTATTTTATTTTATTTTATTTTTTTTGGGGGTTTTGGGGGGGGGGTGTCAACCTTTGTGGCCTTGACCAAACACTCAGATTCCATTCCTATCCTTTAGGTTGTGACTATAATTTTTTATTCACCCAAAAAAAAAAAAAAAGGACTATAATTTTGCCCTAGGAAGGTGGTAATTAAGTGCATCTGCGCCAAACATACCTAGGACCTTGTGGATGTCTTACCATAAGTAAAATAAATGCATCAGCTGTGAAAAAGACCATGAGCTGTCTTTTTTTTGGACTACAAATCTAAAATCTAAAATCTAAACACAAATTGATGAATCCATACATTTTGATCCATGGATAGAGTTGTGTTGACAGTTTGTATATATAGATCCATGAGTAGTACTTTTGGCAACAAAACATTGATAATTCCATACATGTTTACACTAGTTTAGGCAAAACTTTTTTGCCCTCCCAACTTTTAGGGAAAAAAGGGAAGAAAAAAAAAAAAGTAAAAGAAACACTACTTTATTACATTTTCTTGCAGTGATTCACAGTGGCAGAGCTTCGTGCACTAGGCTGCCCTTTAATTCACAAGTTATCTTCAAAGTTTTGTCGCATTTTAGCTACACATCCCTCTCCCCTTCATAACATGCCTTCTTAGACCAGGAATGTGGATGTTTGAGATGTAATCTTTCCAATCTATGTTCCCTACATCAAATCCAAACTTTTTCCTCTCTTCTTCAGACATGCATTCCATCAATCTCTTGGTATTGCTGTTATCAAACCTGCACAGAAACAAGCATGATATAGAGTGTGTTTCAGGTAGGGTTTCAAATATCAGCCGACATGTATAAAAATTTTGGACTTCTGAATCCAATATCAGCTGATACCGATACATATCTTGATATTTAAAACCATTGTTCAAGTACCCAAATTTCAAGTGAGCAAGATCAGAAATGAGAAGGTGAAGGTCTAAATTCCTTAAGACAAGATGGCTATAACTTTAGTCATGCTTAGAAGTATGCAATGTTGTGTGGTAGACTTTTTTGCTATAATCCCATAATTTTTTTGGGGAAACTGTTTCATTACAAGCACAGAAACCATACACAGAAATACATATGAACAATGGAAGAATTAAATTAAGAAAAGCAAGATTATCATCTCACCTTCCACCATAAAAGGTGTATGGCTGATAAATATTAGCCAAATACTTTGCTTGCTCCACTGATTTCCTGCAAATATTTTCAAGCTTTTGGGACAGCTTCCCATTTGGAGTAGCAGTGGCCATGGCAGCTAGGCCGCTTCGCTGAATCGTGTCTCTCCAGAGGTGAGATGAGAAATCTTCCATGGAGTCGAAGAGCTTCATTGTTGGAACATGAATTGGCCTTCCCATTGAGTCAATGCATGGCTCAGATTTGAAGTGTTGATGGAGCAAATTGGCCAAGTCTTCAAAAACTAATGGGTTCACGACTGATGAAGCAATTTGGTAGACATTGCTTTCTGATTCTCCAGTTGCACCATGTTTTGCTATTGCTGCCAAAGTTGCATTCACAACCATGTCTGCTGGGACCTGTAACTAATCTTGTTTAGAGAGGATCAACTCTTCATGGAATGCTAACCAATTGTATTGAAATTTGAGTGAAAAGTTTCTTAGAAATAGGTGTAAATGTTAGAAAATGTACTAAAATCGATGAAAAGTGTTTCGTGTTTCTTTCCTTTTGGTCTATTTTTGTGCCTCAAAGGCACTTATTAGCAAGATCCCAGATGATATCACGGTTATAATTTTGTAAGCCATGATTTTGCATTCTTAATATCAGATAAACAAGGACTAATCTTAACTAAATTTCTAGAAGTTATTTGAAACATAGCTTGTAGTATTGCTTGATACTCTCAATACTGCTACATCATGGCTGAAGCCGATTCATCTCTTGATACAGAATATTTTAGACCTTGTTTTTCATCTTCAGATACAGGTATTTAAACCTTGTTTGAAACATAACTTGTAGTGTCTTTTACCCTTGTTGTCATTGACAAAATATAAATTCCATGGTGTATTATACCAAGTAAAGCTTTTTTGCTTTGAAAAATGTGTTCAACAAGAATATTACTTACTACATCAAGGACCCCATTTGGGTCTACCAGAAAGCCAGTGAGCTGCCCTTTCCCATAGTACAGAACAATTGGATCCATCATCCTGGAGAGAGAGGGAGGGAGGAATGAATAAGTTTATAGATATAGAAGAGAAGTGATAGCAGAATTTGATTAATGAGGTGATTTAATAGGACATAATTAATTAACATACCTATTTCCTTCCATCCATCCAGGGAAAGGTTCTCTGTAAGTGCTCTCAATGACACTTGGTCGAATTATGACTACGGGTATTTCTCCTCTCATACTATCAATCACCATTTCTCCCATTGCCTTTGTGAACACATAAGTATCTTGCCACCCATATTTCTTGGCCCTAATTGAAGTAAAATTAAACTAACTAAAGTAACACCGACCGTTTGGTACTTGAGAAAACAGAGAGAAATAACCACACACACACACAAAATACTGAAATGAGGGCAAAAAAGAGAAACCATCACCTCTCCAAACCCAAATCCTTCATTTTTTGAGCCACTGCATTGTCAAGATCAAAAGTTTCCTTTGAATCCAAAACCAACTTCAGTTCATCTTCAACCCTCAGAGTAGGGGTTTCAAAGATGAGACTCTCTCTTGCTATGCTATCTCCTACGCAGAATGGCTTCTCCATGATTCTTCCTTGTCTTTGTCCATTGACATAAGCTGCAAGGTATGGACAAACACAGAAACCGCTCATTAAAGTGTTGAACTACGCACACAGAAATCGGTCACAAACCCCCTGTGATTGTCCTATGTTTGATTCTGTGACTGGTTTTTGAGTTCCTAGCATTTATCTTCGTTAAAATGGCTAGTCATTCTCAAAGCAATATGATATTTAGTACTGCATTAGCATCTAAGTGTCATTATAATGTATTTTCTCTTGAAGTAGACTAATCTAAACTCAACTTTATCTACTTAATTACCTGTAGACACTTGCAGAAAGAGCTTAAGTTTCTTGCACTTCTTCGCAAAGCTCATAAGGCGACTAGGCCCTCTCGTGTTTATGTCAAGAGCAACATCATATCTGCAATTTCCCAAAAAAACAAAAAAGAAAAACGAAGTTTTATAGCTAATTCATCCTATACATACTAATAACATGACACTGAGAAAATTCACCTTTCATCAAAAGTGGTATTAGCTGCAGAATTGACAATTATATCAACTTCTTTTGAAATGGCATCAACTGTATATTCTTCCAAGCCAAGATTAGATTCACAAACATTTCCTAATACTGGAACCAACTTGCTCAACATGAAAGCTTGATAGGATTTTCCATAGCTTTGTTGCAGACACTTGAAGAGTTCAGCATCTATGATCTATATATGACACTTGACACAATTATAGCAAGTTGCAGACACTTGACACAATTATAGCATAAAATCAAAATTGTTTACTTATAAATATGCAGAATTTTAGAAACCGAAATTAACCATAAATGGAACTTACTTCATTTTTTAATCTTTGCATTGCAGCTTCCTTGCTTTTTGCTTTGATCAAGACAAAGATCTTACCCACATCAGGCTCTGTCCTTAGTATCTTCTCAATAAGAACTGAGTATTTATAAACAACCCAAAAATTTAAGGGGGAAACAAAGGATACAAAGTTTTAGATGGAGAAAACATCAAATAAAGATAGGAGCTTGTGTTTAAATAAGTATTTTGGAGCATGTGTTTGAATAAGTATCAAAATACATATTGGTATTGGTGGAATATATGCACTGAATGTTCAATAGCTTGATACATATTAGCTGATATGATACGTAGCTACGGACATTTAAACATTTGGTTAGGAGTCACGCTTCTCTCTAGGATAGTTCAATCACTAATGGCCCTCACAAGCGTAAGTTTCTCTCACATGTGAGATTGTCAGAGATCATACAACCTAATGATCGGTGAGAAGCCAAACTTAAGTTGATAAATCTAAAATTTTTAAAAGTATATAACCAAAAAAAGATTTGCATTTTTTAAATTAAAAATATTTAACATAAATTTATAAAAATTTTCACTAAAAAAACAATGTTGGAAAAAAAATCCTTTTTAACCAAGCCCAAACATTAAAAACACATTACATACCCAAATCCTAATGCAACAAAAGGCTAAAGATTATGAGAAAATGTATACCTTTTGCCAAAAACCCAGTAGCACCAGTAATGAAAAAGCTCTTTCCTCTAAGAAACTTAACAATTCCAATTCCATCACTCATCTCCATCTCCACTAGAGATGTGGCTGCTGGTTCACAATAAGGCACCAAATCCTTCACTTCAATCTCTGCCTGTGGGCTTTTCCCATTGTTTGTTGACAATACCAAGTTCCCAGCATTCATTAAAGCCGTGCCATGCTCGACATTGCTCACCAACGCTGATCTCTCTGTCAAAACAGAAGATAATTTGCTTGATTTTATCGCTTTGCCAACGCTTTGGCAACACACCAAAATCTTCTTCTTCTTCTTAGCCTCCAACAAGCAGCGGTGATCAGGCTTATTGGAGAAATGTACAAGTTTCTGGGGTGTTACTGAGAAAGATTTTAGAGAGAAAGCCTCCATCACTTTCCCAAGAAAGTTGATGAAAAGATTAGAAGAGAGAGAATCAAAGAAAAGTGAAAAACTTGAAAGGTGAAAATGGTTGGGTTGAAACCTTATCTAATCACTTCCTACACAAAAAGAGAGCAAAAGCAAGTTTACCAAACAAAGGTCTATAATAAGATATGGTTTTGGTTTAGTTTTAGAGAAACGGAAAGAGAGGAGTGAGAAGAGAAAGACAGGTGGGTTGAGGTTATAAGGGTAGAGGAGATGAGAGTTAGGAGAGAAGTGGCTCTCTTTTTGCCTCCCCTTTCACACTTCTCACCAATGACTAAGTTGGCGGGCTTTGAATATATTCTTGCTTATTTGATTATTTAAATCAAATCAACCATCTTTAATTGCCTAAGAAAATATATAAGAAGAAAGGGTGTGGGATTTTGGATAGAAAGAGAGCCCTTTGATTAATATAACAAGGGTTCATGTATGTGTCAAAAAAAAAAAAAAAACAAAGAAAAAAAAAAATCACGCTCTTTCACATGCTATAATTTTGGAGACATACATATTGATGACTATTTGAGAAAGAAAAATTATGAGTACACCTACTTAAATTACAAAACTGAACATAATTTTTTCATATTGTGATGGGTCCACCTTATATAAGAGGGTTGGATACAGTTATGTGATTAAATTCGGTGCATCAAGAGTTGTTGTAAAAATTTGATTATCATTGTCCTTGAATCCTCATTTGTGTAATCTATTGGGATTATTTCTTTTCAAAAAGTGATTAAACTCCTAATTGAGGTGAATGGCTAAAATACTATATATATATATATATGTTTGTGTGTGTGTTGCCAATCTCAAGTACATTGAAAACAAGTCAGTTATGAACATGTTTAAATATCAGTTATGTTGTTTCTTTTATTTAATTTTAACAGGTTTGATTTCAAATATGAAGGTTCTTTTTTGGGTGAGTAAAATATGAAGGTTCTATTAATACCCTGCACATTAATTTGTAAAAAAAATAAAAATTATAAAAGAAGTTTGTTTACTATTTTTCATCACTATTAAGTTGGGGGGCAAGATCACTAAATAATTTCTTACATTTATCATACAAGAAAATGTTACACTTGTATGTATTGTACCCTCATTGATACAACCCAAGAAAAATATTAGGAAAGAAAAAAAAAATTGTAATATTAATGAAGAGTAGTAAGTAATTGTTTGGAAAAAAAAAAATCAGTCCGAAACAGACTACATGATTGCTCTCCATTAGGAGGCGATGAGACCCACTAAACCACTAGTCAATGCGAATTTGCTACATGGTTCACTTTCAGCTTAAATGTTGACCTATCAATCATTTTCATTAATAAAATAAAACCCTTTTTTAACACCAAATCGACCGCAAACATTATCATTCATGTGAAGGTGTTATCCAATCGAATGTGTCTTCATCAGGATAATCTTTTTGTACTTGTTCAGGTGGAATGAAGCAATCAACCGAGAGTCCAGGAACATTGAATGCTAGGTCGTCGATCTTCCAAGTCTCCTCCATCCGTGTGATTGCTGTGCCCGCTCTCAGATTGTCCCCAAATCTTGAGATGATCACACTTGATTGGCCAGAATGCGCGATCATCGTGCCCTCCACCATCCGATAGTCCTCGATTTTCGTGCCCATGGTGGTCTCCCAATAGGTAGGGTAGGTTCCGGGGGACTGGATTCTGGTGAGGTAAGAGTCCTCTAAATACACTAGCAGACCACTTCTTTGGCTGAAGTAACCAAACATGACATGCTTGATCATCTCTGCACTGTTGTCACTCCGATCGGCTAGGTCCGTCTGATCCGCGGACAATTTCAACACGAAGCAATCGACGCTCAAGATTCGTTTTTCGCCCACGTATTGTGCTAGGGAAAACACAGCCGATACAGCCACAGGATCTAGTCCCTGCATAAATAACAATATGTTTTTTACATAGAGGAAAATAATATCTGTCACATGAATTCTACTCCATTTTTTAACCTTCTAAGAAAGTGTGGTGAAAAAAATATTAAATCCATTGGGTAAAATATAACAGTCTTTAACATAACAATATGGCGAACTATACATTCAATTCTAGAAAATGTCTCATTTTTATAGATTTTTATGAAAGGGATCAACCTTCTTTTTTTTTATTGGAAGCACTATATAAATAATGTCAAATAGTTTTCCAAACTTATCTAAATAAAGTTTTAATAATTTTAATCCACACATTTTGAATTTAATTTACTTATTTTTAGTAGATAACATTACCACAGTCAAAAAGAGTGCCAACATGAACCTCCAGCACACTTGAAGAGCACTTGACGATCATATTGGGAAAGTTACCAGCCAGCACTCCCAAAAAAAAAAAAAGAAAAAAAGATAAAAGATTAAAAAAATTAGTAAAAAGTGACTTTACAAAAAGGAATATTCCACCTCTGAGTTTGAATATTAGTGGTGGTAACTAGTGCAACTTGAGAAAGATGAAAAATTGTTCAAACTCAACTCGAATCGAATTAGAAGTTACCAAAGCCCAACTTTCAACCCGAAGTGGACACAAATTTGATTTTTTATTTATTTATTTATAAAATCATCAGTATAACATCAAAGCAGATAATATATATATATATATATATATGATTTACATGATGAGAGAAAGAAACATAGAGAAGAAAAATAAGAATCAAGTACTTGATGCGCCTCTACAATGGTCTGTATTATTTTTGTACATAATAATACAGTGAATATAATCTAACGGTCTGAATTATTTTAATACTGCTAATAAGTTATACTTATATTTTATATTTTGTATATATTTACAAATACAATTTGGGTTTTGCATTACTCGTGTTGCCCAACGTCCCTGGCTAATTCCTATCCAACCACATAAATTCAAATATGTTGTCCAAACCCCCAAAAAAAAAGCCTTTCCAAAATGCATCTCTAATGGTGGTGGTGGTACTAGTTACCTGTAGGGCACGCCGAAGAGGGCGAACACCGCCTTTGGCGGCGTGAGGGCCGAGCCAAGGGGTGTGGCGCCAAGCCAAGTTGCCATCACTGCCGGCTACAACCTTGTGCCCACCCACAACCAGCTCAATTAACCACTTATTAGGAACCATCTGCCACATCACGAAACACCCTTTTTGTGGAACCCCATTGGCTCCACCAGCTGAGCCATTCGAGCCAAGCTCATCGACCATGCCCATCGTCACTTTTCCGGTTGCATACATGTTCTTCACCGTTCCCTCTAGTTTCCGGCAACCCGTCGCCGCCGTGAAATGTTGGATTATGTATTGTGCTGACGATGAGACCTGGCAAACAGTCACTTTCAATTTATGTCTCTCTTTAAAGGTCTAGACTCTGGAGTTAATGTTGGTGTCTCAATGGCATCAAAATGACATTCAATGTGAAAAAGGTAAAGAAAATAAAGAGAAATGTTATAAGGGCATTCACATTGGAACATTGGAGCTGTTTGTGTACATATTAGTGTCAGTCTATAAATTTTAACTAGTGAAAGGTGTTATTTTCAGCTTTAAGAGCATCCTACGCTATCTTGCTATTGTTACAACATGGAGAATAGTGTTATCAGATGTTTGTTCGGAAGTCCGTCCGGTCCACCGTCAACAATCAATTTTATTTTATTTTTATATATTTTTTAAAAATTATTTGATTGATAACTTATTAATTTAATAAAAAAAAGAACAACACAATAAAAAAAATATTTTAATAAAATTAAGTTAGAATAGAGAGTTTGATATAGTAGATATTAAAGAAATGACTAACTAAAATAATAAAATAAATTTTTAACTAAAATTTGATTAAAAATTTGAAAAAGCTAATACGAATACTGTAATGAAGCTGTTAAGGAGTTGGCTCACCTCAAAAAATAGTGTCCGATTTATTTTGATCGTCGCAATTAACAATGGTTCTAGCTATCAATGGAGGGAGAGAGAAAAGAGAAAGAGTGAGAGAGTAAAGTGGCGGTGGACCCACCCAGTGCAGTGACTGGACGGATGATAAGAGAGAGAGGGGAAAGGAGAGGAGAGGATAGAGAAAGGAGAGTGAGAGTAATAAGAAAAAGTTATCAATGTTTGTCCTTTTTTTATTATCATCCTTTTATTTATATATTATTTAACATATTCCTTAATAAATATCACCATTTATTTTTTAAAATTAACAAATTCTTAAAACACTTTAACATATACTTTTGAATTTTATTTTTATCATTTTTTTATCATATAACACACTTTAATAAATAATTTTAACTATTCCATTGTGTGGATGCTCTAAGTTACTATTTTGTATCACTCGTCCACATTTATCATTGGTTTCTTTATTTGAAAATAATTAGTGATATAATAATATCTCGTTATTTAACCACTGATAAAATAATAATAAAACTGACGATATATAAAAATTCTCGGGAAAAAAAAAAAATTAAGGCCAAATTATTGAGGGACTCCTTTCATCACCGTGAAAAAACCGTCATGTCCAAAAAAGTAATATGCTACTATTTATCACCCCCTTACTTTTTTACCAAGAAAAATACAAAAAATGCAAAAATACTTTTTTTGTTTTTTGGTTGTTATTGTCGGCTACTGGTAACATGTATGCATCAAAGCTACAAAAAGTCCCCAAATGTGATCACTTCTTCAATCAATTACAACTTGTGACATCAATATTTAGGGCTATTTTGGAAACTTGGCTAAAAGTCATTTTTTTTTGGTTAGTAGCAAAAGTCAAACTCTTTTACTTAATTTATATATATTACATAATTTATTAAATTATATATATATTATATATTATATATTATATTAAATTGAATTCGGGTTCGGGTTGCTGGGGTTGGCCATTGGTTCTGCCCAAGCCCGGCCCGAATTGCAATTCAGGCATCAAAAATCTGCCCAAGCCCGTCCAGATTACAAGATATAGTTGCCCAAACCCTAAAAAAACTCGGGCTGGACTCGGGTTGCTCGGGTTGAGCCCGCCCGAGTTGCACCCCTAGAAAAAACCGTCATGTCCAAAAAAGTAATATGCTACTATTTATCACCCTCTTACTTTTTTACCAAGAAAAATACAAAAAATGCAAAAATACTTTTTTTTTTGGTTGTTATTGTCGGCTACTGGTAACATGTATGCATCAAAGCTACAAAAAGTCCCCAAATGTGATCACTTCTTCAATCAATTACAACTTGTGACATCAATATTTAGGGCTATTTTGGAAATTTGGCTAAAAGTCACTTTTTTTGGTTAGTAGCAAAAGCTAAAAGTTGGTTTTTTTGACTTTTTTTTCATTTGGCAAGTTGGTTTTTAGCCAACGGTGAAATTACAATTTTACCCCTCATGGGTCACAATGTGTTACATAGGTTTAGTTGTAAATATTTTAAATAAATGGGGGTAGTTTAGTCATTTTATTATGATTTGACATCATCAACAAATATTAATCAAAAAAGTCAAAAGTCACTTTTTACCAACTTCCCAAATCATTTGTCTAAAAAAGCCAAAAGCTTAGTTAAAAGCCAAAAAGTCACTTTTTACCATCTTCCCAAAACAACCCTTATTTGTTGGTTCATGAAACTTTCTTCTAAATTTCACATTTTGTGTGGCAATGGATTAGTATATATTTACATTATGGAGTTAGGGAAGAGCCTCCGGCAATATGCATCTACTATAAATTGACGTAATTTTACTATAAATTTTATAATATCAATTATTAAATGTATAATCTCGTTATAAATTAACGTAAAAAAATAATTAAAATTTTGCAATTCATGTTACAAAAATTTATGATTTTATTACGATATTTTTTTTTTACGCCAATTTATAATGATGTTATGTATTTTGTAATTAATACTATAAAATTTCATGATAAAATTATATTAATTTATAATAGAATATATATGATAAAAGGGTGGTTTCTCTCAAGGAGTGTGGTATACGTTGGACTTGATCCAAATTATCCATTTTGAAAGGTAAATTCATTCACGCAAAAATTTAAATCCATCGAATATCAGCCACATTATTAGATCATATTTATATTATAAAAAATAAATATTGTATACTCTAAATTAAACTTGTCATTTATTTGTTAAAGACAAATTATAATTTGATCCTATAATTATTGATATTTAATTAATTTATTTTTTACATAGAAAATCTTCTCAATGTATCCTAAAAAAATAAGAATAAAGCTTGGGATCCCAGTTGGGGGTGCTGGTCCCCTTTCCATTGGTCCAAAAAAACTGTTTTTTTTTTTTTTAAACAATGACAGGCCAACACGTGGCGGAGGAGGGTTCACTGCAGGTCTGTAGCATCGCTGAAAAAATAATAATCTAAATTACTAAAAAAACCCAGAATAGGCTCCCAATCCCCAACCCCCAACCAAACCATTCAGTCATCAAACTGAAGAGAAGCGTGATCCATGGAGTTATTACCAAACAGAACTATTTCAATGACGCAATTATTTTATAAAATCATGTTTTTGGCTTTGACAAGTTTTGAAGTATCAGAATACAAAAAAATGAAACGTCTGGAACACTCAACTTGGCAACAAACTTATTTATTAATTTATTTTTATTACATCACCTCTATTTTTTAAAAATATATTTTTTATGAAAAATTTAAATAATCAAAAAATTAAAACATATCCAAACATTCTACGAATAATAGGGGGGAGCAAAGTGGAAAGAAAAGAAAAGGCAGGAGAGCAAGCGCAAAAAGAGAAACAGAACATAAAAGCTAGAAACCAGTATTTTGTACTGTAATTTCTTTATCTTTTCCTAATTATAATTTTAAAGTTGTAAACTTTACACTCAAGAATATTAATATGTAACCTCAAAAATAACAAGAAAGCAAAGATTTTTAGAAACCCAGTTCTAAATCAAATGATTTTCAAAAAATTAGGAGGTAATCTTAATATATATTTTATAAATATCATAACACATTATATACATATACAAATTGAAAATGATCGAAAAACCCACAAAACCTCTTGATGAATTGATTGATGATGATAAATGAAATGAGAGAGAAGAGTAGTGAGTTAGTTATGACTTACTTGGGAGATGGGTTGTTTGGGATGGAGAGAGACAGGGAAGAGAGGGCAAGCAAGAACGCTTAAGAGGATCTTGAGATGAGATTTTTTGTGGAAGAGAGAGAGAGAGAGGTGGTTCTTGAGCCATCCTCTCCATGTTTGGGCTTTCTTTGAGCAGTTTGTAGTGGTGGTGTTGCTGCTGCTATTAATGTCGTCCTCATCGTTGATGGGTTCTTCTGACAATGGAGCTAGTCGACTCATCATCATTTCATCTAATCCTCTCTTCTCTTTCCTTCTCTTCTTCCGGATATAGAGAGAGAGAGAGAGAGAGAGAGAGAGACTTGTGGATGCAGCAGAAGAGAAAGTAGACGAAGACTGCTTCAAAAGAACAGAGCAGAGAGAGGAGTTGCTTACTTTTGTGCACGTGCAGATCAGCCGCGTGTTTGCCACTCAATATGGTTGAGTTGGCCCCACTTTTACTCTTTTTTTTTTTTTTTTTTTTTTTTTTTTTTTTTACATATTTTTTTAAAAAACTCAAAAATTAACTTTTATCTTACTTCCTAAATTGATAATAACATCCTAAAATTAAGTTAACCCAAACATTCATATTTTCAACCTCAACTTTTTAGTCTAAAAAGACAAAAAGTGCACTTATTTAGGACACCCCAAACAACCCCTTATTAGCTATTTTGAACGATCTAATTCAAACTATGATATGACTTATACAGTGAGAAAATGAGTAAAACAAGAATCGAGCTGGTTTGAGAATAGATTATTTTAATAAATTTTTAATTTTTTATAAAAATTATGTAAAAAAATAAAAAGAGTGATATGAGAATTTATAATAATTTTTTGGCCAAAATAATTACTTTTCAAATGGGGCCTCAATCAATGAAAAAACTCACATTGCAAAAATAGACTAAAGCCTCGTTTGGAATTATGTTTTTTTATTAATTTTTTGATTAAAATATGATGTAAAAATAATATATTTACGATAATTTTTTTAATTTTTTACAAAAAGATGTGCAAAAAGTAAAAAGAAAATAAATTTTTTGACTTTTTGGTATAGGTTGTTGATTTTTTGATTTTTTTACTGACTTTTTGGCTTTTAGACTAAAAAGTGATGTTGATAAACGAGACATTTTTTAAATTTATTTAAAATACAGATTACCTCCCGTGGTTTAAAAAGATATTTTCTTGTTAGAATTTTTAATTTAACAAAATCAATTGAAAAAATAAAATTTTTAATTGCTCTCTTATACAATAATAAAATTACTTGAATTATTAATTGAAATAAATTTTTAACATTATTAAAAATTGTTAATTCGTTGATGATTTATTAATAAAATGAACCATTTATTATAAAATTAGAAATCTTAAGAGGCGGGATGTAATTTCTAAAATCATAAAGGTAATTTATATTTTAAGTAAATCTGAGAGGGTGTGTTTGTAATTTATCCAAAAGATAATGTTATTATTACACTCTATATTTATTTTTATTTTTTTTAAAAAAAAAATTGGTAATAAATGAGCTTACTCATAATGTTATTCCTTCAATAAGCCCCACACTTACCCTGTAAAGAAAATGATTAGCTTCGCTAAATTTAAACAAGCAATGGACCCCCTTTGCCCATGCCATCCATCAACAACTTCCAATTCCAATTTGAAAAGTGGTTTTTTTTTTTCTTTTTATTGGGGTGAGGAATTAGTGTTTAAGTGTGATGATATTATTAATATTATTATTATTTATATTTTTTTGCCAAAAGAAGAAAAAAGAAATATGATAAGATTCGAATTCAAACATCCTATTGGTGAAATATTTCAAGTATTCTTTAGATTTTTTAACCAATATATATATAAGCTACAAAAAAAGAACTACAGATTGGAAAGTGGAAAAAAAGACATGAAGAAATTGTTATGCTAACTTTTTATCTAAAGAAGATATAAAATGAAAAACTTCAGAGGAGGTGTAATGATAGCTGTGGTTTCAATCCTTGCCTATATAATCAATGGCAAGTTTGATGACTCGGTCGCTTGCTCTATTTCTACGTTTTTCATCCATTTATTTTACAGGTCACTCACTCACACCCTTTCCTCTTTCAGGTTACAAATTGGAGTGTTTTCAGAAATAAGTAAAAAGTAAGTTTTTTGAGTTTTTAACTTTTTTGATAGTTTTTTTTTGACAAAAAAGCTAGTTAAAAAATTTACTTTTTTAACTTGTTAAAAGACCCAAAATCCAAAAGTTAATTGAAAATGTATTTGGTTATGATTCAAATTAAAGTTCTACATTCCTTGTAAAAGGCTTAAGAATTCACAAAGATTAAACAAATACATAACTTCTTCTCTTTTATATAATTAAAAAAAAAAGTTACAATATTTAGTATTAATAACACTATATTCATTCTTGATGACATTCACAATCAACCAACATGTCATCACTACATATTGTGCTTTATTTATTTGTAGACAAATTATACTAACGGTCCCTATAGTTTGAGTCTTGTGTTATTTTGGTCTCTAAATTTTTAATTGTGACACATTTAATTTTAAATTTTAAATATTGTTCCAAATAAGGACAATTGAAGATATCATTATTAGATTTCAAGGGTAGAATCGTCAATTTGATAAAATATAAACTAATTTGATAAAAATAAATGTCAAAAAAATATTTTTGAATTTTTAAAAATTATTTCTACCAACTAAAGATAAAATTATATAAAATTGATAAATCTTTTAGATATTTATTTTTTTTATTTACTAAATTAATTTTAATTATGTGTAATGGGTGGTTGTTTTATTTTCATTTATTTTTCCAAAAGTCAAATGGTGATAACTTTAATATCTTTATAAATCAATCCATTAAATCAACCACCCATTACATGATCATCATCCAAATACATAATACAAATTAATTTGATAAATAAATAAATAAATTTATATAAAATTTATCAATTTTATACAACTTTATCTTTGGTGGTAGAAAATATTTTTAAAAATTTAAAAATAGTTTTTTGACATTTATTTTTGTCAAATTAGTTTATATTTTATCGAATTGACGACTTTGTCCTTAAAATTGAGTAATAGTATTTTCAATTATCCTTATTTGAAACAAGATTCAAAATTTAAAATCAAATATGTCACAATTAAAAAATTAAGAATTAAAATAACACAAGTTCCAAACTATAAGAACTATTAGTATAATTCGACTAGTATTTATTTATTTATTTTATGTATGTTTTGGCATTGTTGAATCCTAAAAATCCCCAAAGACGTTAGTGGGTGCTTTAAAGTTGCAAGCATTTGTAATTATGAGTCAAGGTTCTAAACTTACTTTCTAATTACTTTTTTTTTTTTAAATAAAAGAATTGTGAAAGGTATAGGAATCCACAAAGGTCCTCAAGGGGGTGGGCCTTTTGTGAGAGAAATTAATACAAAACAATGTCTAATATATTTTCCTCAAACTCTAATCATCATGCATAGAATGAAAAAAAAATGGAAGAAATTATTAAATAATAAAGGACCTTTAATTATATATATGAATATTGGTATCTTCTTTGGCACATAATTTATTAGATGACTTCAATAAAAACCAAAAAAAAAAAAAACAGTTAAAAAGGGAGGGCCAAATTTTATGAAAATATATTCTTGGAAAAAAAAGAAAAAGAAAAGGCCAAACTTTTAAGGGTTTTTTTCCTTTTTTTATTTTTTAATAGATAGAACTGGAGGGGGCTTTAAAGGGAGGCAATGTAAAAAAAAAAAAACAGTTAAAAAGGGAGGGCCAAATTTTATGAAAATATATTCTTGGAAAAAAAAGAAAAAAAAGAAAAAGAAAAGGCCAAACTTTTAAGGGTTTTTTTCCTTTTTTTATTTTTTAATAGATAGAACTGGAGGGGGCTTTAAAGGGAGGCAATGTAGGCAATGTGTCTACGTCTTTCCTATTTGTAATTATGGCCTTTCTGGTAAGTTTGGTACGCAACCTATCCACTACATTTGATTTAGTCACCAATGTTTTAGGCACAAGCCTTCAATGCAAAAACAACCACATATGTTCCATTTTGTAATTGAAATTTAGGCCTCGTTTGGGAACAGGTATTTTTAGTAATTTTTTTATTTTTTGGCTAAAATATGATGTAAAAAAAATTAGTATATTTAGAATGACTTTTTGACTTTTTACAAAAAGTAGAGAGAAAATGAAATCTTTGATTTTGGGTATAAATTATTGACTTTTTAATTTTTTAAATGACTTTTTAATTTTTTGGTTAAAAAAGTCACTTGCTAAACGAGGCCTGAGGCGCACAAATGCTTCAAAATAATCTATGTAGTCATTGGCCAAAGACTCGTAGCTCACCTTAAAAGGAATTGATTGTGATTTTAAACCTGCTCTTTTCATGACCTCTCTTAACTGAGACAAGAGATTCACTATTTGAAATAGAAATTCATTTATAAATATTGAGATTATGTCATATTTAAAATTTATTATTATTTTTTTAACTCATTTCAATCTAAATCCACTTGACCCATCAAGCTATTATTTGACTCAAGCTTGTATCCTCAATGGGGCGGGGTGGAGTGAGACCGTCTGAATAAGGCATGAATAGGCCTGTGTTAAAATCCACCCCATCGGCCCATGAAAAGCTACTCATCAATCTGTGAGGCTAGTCAAAAATAAAAAATTTTAAAAAATCTAAAAATAGACTTGAATCTTAACTCGTTAACTCATCTAAGCTATAATTATTGAATAAAACTTGAGTCTAAAATTTTAATCCTTGCAAGAGGGAAAGCCCTCAAAACAAATTCGTGGACACAACCTCGCCTAACCTAATCTGATGCCAACCTTTATATACAATAGTGTAAGTAATAAATATATTTTTTTTAAAATTAACAAGGAAATAAACTTATAATTTTGGATAAATTATTGGAATTCTTTTCAACATCATCTTTGATGGGCGTAGGTGAAAATATGTAAAGCACAATGACATTAACAATCTCATCAAATTAGTCCACGTCTCAATTGTGGATTAGCCAGCCATTGAATTGGGGAGAGTCAAAGAGGGAGGGGGGAGGGGGAATTTTCAATTAAGCCAACGAATTTTCAATATATTATTTGAGATGGTACAGGGATCATTAAGCTGAGCATTTCAACAATTGATCGACGACGACGACGATGGGAAAGTAGCTGGAATCTAATGGATGGTTGCTGTGGGAACCTTAAATGTCTGTACCCCATTTGAGACAAGCCGTTGAACCCATTTATTGATTCATTTAGAAACATAGGATATATGAGACCCAGAAGCATAGCCCACAAAACCCCCCTCTCAAATTAATTAATTAGATTAATGTTAAGGGACACATAATTCATAGAGCATATGTTAAGAAAATTTTAAAAAT